TTAAGAAATCCTAGTCAGTTGGCCAAGCAGCATTTGTACCTAATATAAGTATCTGTGTGTTACTTGGGACCTTAATGTGGCAGTGGGCAGAACTCTGGTGGCCTGGTGGAAAGCTCCCATGTGGCGGCAGGGCTCAGGTGGCTTCTGTCGATCCAAGTCAGGTGGTGGTGATGCACACCTTTATTCCCGGCACCTGGGAGGCAGAGGCCGACACATCTCCAGGTTCAATGCCAACTGGGTCTACATAGTGAGTTTCAGGACAGCCAGAGCTACACAGCAAAACCCTGTCTCAGGGAAAACAAAATCTGTTTCAGGTGACATCCTCAATTCTCAAGGCCTTCCATAGTCCCATTACACTCACATCATCTGTAGCTATACAAGCTCTCTGATCTTACCTCCTCCCATCATGCCTTGGTGCACTCTTCTCTTCTTACTCCATATATACCAGGCCATGCCTGTCAAAGACATCTTTTACTAGCTAGCCCTCTGGCCAGGAATATACCTACTCACATTTCTGTACCACTCCAAGTCTATGTTAACATTATTTTCATGGTCATCCCCTCCACACTGTCTAACTCAGCTCATACTTCTGACCTCCCATCGACTTCTGAACACCAGGGCCGTAACTGCCATTAAAATTCAATTCACTGTTCTGCCTTATTGCATTGTAGAGTTCCCTGAACTGTTGGTGCCCCCAGAGTAGCGAGTTTTTTCACCTGTTCATCTCACTGACTCACCCCCCAAACTTTCAGACTGACAAATAGCACATAAATGTCACTGAATACATTAATAAATTAATGAATATGTAACTTGTTCAGTGTGCAGCAGGGAACTACTGGAAATAATTGAACAAATGTGCTTTAGGATTTTTACTTGGGTGACTGAGTTCTTGAAAGATCTCAGACTGCCTCAGTCACCGCGGGCACACTGAGTCTCCAACAACAGGTATCTTGGAACTAAATATAAAGGAAGGATCTACCACAAAGAGAAGTCTCCATGATTTCAGACTTTCAAAGAGGGAAAATAACTTCTTAGCTGCTTCAAGCAAGTAAAATGAAGAGGTCTGGGGAACCACAAAGTGGTATCCCGGAGAGCAGGTGGAGGGAAGTAACTTCATGGCATCAGAGTCACACTCAAAGCATTGCTAACTCCAGCTCTCATTCACAAGAAGTGATCACCAGTAGGTAGAGAGGACATGCCTTCACCATGCTCACTCAGTGCTTCCTCCCCAGCTTTTCTCACAGTGCTAAATAGAAATTCAGGCTACCTCTAGCTTTCCATGAACACATTTATTAGTGTGTCCATTATTCTTCCCAGGGAATTCTCGGTTCAAGGTGGACAGTGTCACCCTGTGGCTTATCCTGTGAACCAGACTGGAAGGACTGTATGCCTTACCACCCACATACACACAGCCCCCAATTGTATACATGGTGTTCATAACATGTTCTGGAAATTGAAGGATACTGTTGTTTAGGTTTGTTTGTTTCTGTTAGGATTTTTGTTTTTGTTTTGCTTTTTTTGATGTTCACCTTATTTCCTACATTTTTAGCAATAAATTTAAACGGAGCATCTGTGCATGACACGTAGTCAATGACAGATTCTTGGTTTCAGCTCTTGCTTCCAACAAAAAATACTTTAGAAGCATTTTTGTAATATTGAAAATGTTTAAAATAAAAACTAACATTGCTTTGGTAGGATAGAAAAGCTTTCATTTTACAAAAAAAAAAAAGAAAGAAAGAAAGAAAAAGAAATTTTCTTGTCTTACCAGCCATTTGCCTAGTATGTCAAATGGGACCTTGGTCTCTCTCTGTGTCCCTGACCTTTGCTCTCTCTACCACACTAAGATGCCCTAAAACACACTTAATCAAGCTGCCTTCTGGTCCTATCCAGCCTTCATCCTGCCACCATAAGGCATGCATCTCATAAAACCACCATCATCAACAATGTACTGATAAGTTATAATAGATGAGGCATATGGCTAAGAAGAAAGGAGGAGACAAAAAATCAAGTGCCTTGTTCTCACAGAGAAGCCACCAATCAGCTGGAGATAAGGTCTGACTTCAGAGGTCAGTTGTACATCAGCCATTATGTGCAGAATCGTTGAAAGACAAGTATCTGATCTGTTCTCAGAACTAGCCTCCCATGCAATTATCCCTTTAATGACCTTATGCTCACTACTCAATTCCTTCTGTGCTTAAAAGGGAGTCTCTGAGAGTCCCAGGGGATGCAGAGGACAGGAAGAGCAAACAACCCACACCTGTTTCTACCCAGGGTCAGATGTGGGAGCTGGTGCTTGTGAGAGCAGCCTCCATCACAGGGAAGCAAGCACAACTGTCCCTGCAGCCTGCAATAGTGTCACTCCACCTCTCAGGCACACTTTGTGGTATGACTAAACTCAGGTGTGTTGGTGAATGTTTGAGTTTACCAAGCTTTGGCAAACCACAGTCTGTGCTCTATCTGCTGAGCACTCTCTGCCTGGCTTAGCTAATGCCACCCACCTTCTCCTCTGAGTTGCCTAGCCAGCTGATTCAGCCTTTAACAGTAGTCTTCCTGCTACTACAGCTTATTTGCCAAATTACCCAATTTAACTTTCACACATACCAAGATTGCTAACAGTATACCCAAGACAGAGGGCTTGTGTTGACTCTTTACCACCCTAAATAGTACAAAGCACCCAGCCTATCTTTCAAGGATTTCAGCCAAAGAAAGAATTGCCTTCCTCTGCTCCCCCCAACAAAAAAAGACAGTACAGCTGAGAACCAAACATGCACAGTCCTCCTGACTAGTGTTCATCAAATTTATTCTAACTTCATTGAAAGCTATAGATGTTCAATAGTCAGATTTAACACTATAATTGGTTACATTAAGGGGTCTCTGAGTTTCTATAGGGCTTTATTTCCAGGGATATAAGAGTCAACAAATACACACACACACACACACACACACACACACACACACACACAC